GTGTGCAAGGGCCCTTACTCCATGTTAGAGTAAGGCCTCTTTGGATTTAGAGATCTCCCTGGTTGGAGCTGAGGGTGTGAAGGATAGCGAGCTTCTTGTGAAGTATAGCAGAGTGCCCTCAGACCTTTCTAGATTCTTCCCTGGCAATCTGGCAGAGGAAAAGACAAAGGGAGGGCTTATCAGTTTTATTAGGTTGTCATAACACAGTACTAGAGTCCAGTAGCTTCAAGAATAGATTAAAGAATAGAAATTAATTTTCTCTCAGTGCTAGAGGCTAAAAGGTTAAGATGTAGTTGCCAACAGATTCTCCTCCTTAAGGCTCCCTTTTTAGCTGTGGATGACCGTATCTGCCTCCCTGTCCTTCCATGGTTATGCCTGGTACCTGATCTCCTTGGTTGATATCGCCAATCATACCATATTAGGGTCTGCTATAATGACCTCATATTAAATTAATTGCCTCTTTAACGACCTTATCTCTAAGTAAGTCACATTCTGAAGTGCTTGGGTTAATACTTCAATATGTGGGGGACTGACATTTAAACAAATTCAAGTTTAGTTTAATTAACTACTTATGAACCTTTATTACTTGTTGTTGTGTTTTAGTTATGACTATTTGACTGTGTAAGGGTAGGTGCAGTGATGCAGTTTCTTGCAGAAGCCAAGAGAGGATGTTGGATCCCCTGTAGCTGTGGTTGCAGGCACTCGTGAGTGGCCTGATGTGGGTGCTAGGAATCAAACTCAGGTCCTCTTCAAGAGCAAAGCAGGCTCATTACTGCTGAGCCCTCTCTTCACCCCAGGGCTCTTATTTTTGCAAATGGATTCAGACTCACGAGACTTGAATTTTCAGTGAGGATCCAGGTTGAACACACGAAGGGCTGAATGAACTTAATGGCAGCCAAAGACTGAAACGGTTATGGGATTTAAAATTCCAGCACTCGGCCTGTGTACCTTGTGTGCCTCCAGAGTGTATGTTACTGGTGTCCCGAGAGTTGGGGACCAATCACTAAGGGTCTTCTCCTCTGGATTCCTGTTTAGGTCACTTGTATTAGCATCTGTTTTATTTACTTTTCTCATTTTCTGTGTCAAAATAGCCAACAAAAGCAGCTTAAGGAAGGAAAGGCTTATTTTGCCTCACAGTTTGAGGATGCACTCCATTATGGCGGAATATACACAGGGACAGGAAAATGAAAGAGGTGACTGCTCATAGGAGGAGAGACAGAGAAGGATGCTGCTGTGCAATTTGCTCTGTCCTATTTATTCAGGTGGGGACCTCCCATCCCATGGAACCGCTACTCACCTTATGGTGAGTCTTCCCACCTTAAGTGACCCAATCTAGGCAGTCTTTCACAGACACGCCCAGGGGTTTGTTTCCATGGTAGCTCTAAGTCCCAATAAGTTGCCTGTTAAAATTAGCCATCCTGGACTGGGCAGGTAGCGCACTTGGCAAATTGCCTGGCATGTAAGCATGAGATCCTGAGTTCAGATCTCTAGGTCCAAAGCAATTGTGGTAATGGTAGAGAAGGAAGTGGAGTGGAGGCAGATCCCTGTCAGTCATTGGCCAGCTAGCCTGGCCAAATCAATGAGCTCTGGGTTCAGTATGAGATCCTGTTCTGTCTCCAAAAACAAGGTGGAAAATGCCATTCACATTGATCTCTGTTTCACACCCACATGGATATGGACATGTCACAAACAGACAGATACACACACAGAGAGACAGATAAACACACACAGACACAAATGCAAGCTCATAAGTTCCATTAGGCGTCAAAATTGACAGCCCATAGAATATGAATATATGTTTCTTGTTTTAGAGACAATGAATTATTTACCTACATGTTACAGTTTCCATTTTATCTTTATATCAAACAAACAAACAAAAACACCCTTTGGCTAAAAAAAAAAAAAATCAGTCTTATTTCTGAATTTGCCTTGAATTTGATCCTGAGATGGGCCTTGAACTTCTAATCCCCCTGCCTCTGCCTCCTGGTTGCTGGGATTGCAGGTGTGACTCACCATGCCCAGCTGGAAGTCAAGTCTTTAAAAATGCGCATGAAGAACCAAGGGCTTGATTTTCCATAATTTTCTAAAATGGCTTTTCTTATTTAAAAGACACATTCCCAGCTAGCTGAATGCAAAAGCAGAGAATGAACCTCAGCTCAGCTAAGTGCAGATTCTCCAAGCTGAGATATTTTGTTGAACACAATAGCCTGTATCCTCCATGGCAATGGTTTGCAATTCTGTTTCCAGAGTGCAAAAATGATTACTTTGTTGTTGTTATTGTTGTTGAAGTTGAGGTCCTGGAGATGTATTTTGAAGCCTCCTCTGGACCACTTTTCTGTGACTCTCCACTTCCCTCTGTCTGTGCTTCTCTCCACACTGGAGTGATTGTCCGCCCTAGGGAAGTGGCCACTCCATTCTGTTATTAAATTTTCTCATTGGAGAGCCACGTGCTCATCTGAGGACTCATGTTTCCCACGGAGGCTTCGTGTTTCCCACGGAGACTGCTTACTTTCTTTGTTTGCTGTGGTGATCACAGCTTTGGGTGGGCAGCAGGGCAGAGGCAAACGTGCTTTCTCTGTGACTTTCATAGGCTGTTCTGTGTGCTGGGGTGGAACCAATGCTTCATGGTTCTGTGGCTTCTGACTTCTGGGCATCAGCCATTTTGATAGAAGCTCATTATCCCAGGAAGAGGGTCAGCAGTGACACACCAAATTGTAGGCTTGTAGGCGGTGTAATATTAGCGCTAACAGTGTACCCTGACTCCAGACTTGGGGATGCTTTAATCTCACATCTACTTTAAATATGAAGACCACTAATTAAGATTGTGTGGAGGGATTTACCAAACCCTTAGGGAAGGAAAACTATTTAATAATTTTTGTTTTCTTGCTACTGCTGATGACTCTCAAGCTAGGATTTGTATAGTTAATTGGCTCCTGGTGGGTATTTCTTCTGTCTCTTCCATGTTCACTAGTCTCAGGGTAAAGTTAGTACTTTAAAAAATTAAGACTTTTCACATTGCAACTGCTCAGTAATTACCTAGTGGGTTAATTATATAAAAATGGGTTCCGGGATAAACAAATCATGGTGTGTAGTTGACGGGCTATCATTTATAGATGAGAGAGTGACATTGAGATACATGCTGTAACATGGATGGAACTTGAGGACGCTGCAAAGTGACACAGTGTGGAAATAAAAGCACAGGTTCGTGATTATAAAGTAATCCAAAGACACAAGGTCCCGGAGATCATGGGACTCACCAGGGCTTGGGAAGCAGGAATGGGCCTCACTGGCCAGTGGCTTCAGGGTTCCTGTTTGAAGTGATGGAAAGTTCTGGAAAGGGAAAGTGTTCAAGGTTCAGTGACACTTAAGTCAGAAGCTAAAATGGCTAATGGGTATGAGTACTTAGAAGCTTTAAAAACATGATTCTGATGCAGGAACGGTATAGAGAACATATACACGTTGTATAAACATAAAAACTGCGTTTTGAAAAAAATTATTACTTAAGTGTTTATTACCTGAATTTCCAGACCTGCTTGTGACAGTTTATCTGTGGATTTGCTCCTTGTTGTATAGAGAGGTCTTTCGTGTCATCCTCTGGCCAGGATGACAGCCTCGGACAGCTGTGGTATAATTCCCACCAAACTTGGGAGAAATCATACTATTTACGGAAAATATTTCAAGAATCTGGACTCCCTTAATCCTTCTAGAAATAGTAATTTTATCCCTGGAACAAGGCGGATGGTCAGGTTGCTGCATGCTTTCTGCTTGGGTGGTTTTGTTTTCCTGTTTGTAGCCCTTGGTAAATCCTGCTAGTGACTTGTGCTTGCCCCCTTTCCATGTGCAAGTATATAAAGTTAACTCTTCTCTAAAAAAAAAAATAGATGATGTATTAGTTAAGGTCTTCAGAGGGTCCTGTTTGTAACTATATAAAAGAGGGATTTATTTTAAGGAATTTATGGTGATAGGGTCTGGCAAATATGAAGTTCAGAGAATTGGCCAGTGAGCTGAGGATCTGCAGAAAAGCTGTTGTTGACATGCTGAGTTTCGAAGTAATTTAGAGGCAGAATTCCTTCTTGGGGGCTTAACTTTCCTTCTTAGATTCTTCATGATTAAATGGGAAGGTTCAAATGTTAACACATGGTAAATAAGGAAGAAAGAAAGAAAGAAAGAAAGAAAGAAAGAAAGAAAGAAAGAAAGAAAGAAAGGGGAAGGTAGGGGGAGGGAGGGAGGGAGGGAGGAGGAGGAGGAGGAGGAGGAGGAGGAGAGAGAGAGAGAGAGAGAGAGAGAGAGAGAGGATATTCCCCCCCCACATCTGGACTGATGTTTAACAATGAGTACCAATATCCTTAGTCAAACTGACCACAGAACTATCATAGATAGAGCTGTGTAAATGACAGAACCATCTTTAATCGGGTATATTCGTTGTCTGTTATATTTGCTTCTTTGAGTGCTCACAGAGGGATATTCCAGTTCCCTCCCACCTCCTCGTCCAGGTTCAAGTCTCATGTTGTCATTATTTCATCAGCTGGGTAGGGCTGTCTTCCAAACCTAGGTGGGTTAAGTGGTATAGAGTCTTCATTGTGGATGTGTTGAAGGTGTGAACGTGTGACTGCAACGGCTTGCCAAGCAGCCTGGTGTGTAAGTCCATGTGGCGAGTTCTGCCAGTCAGCCCTCTGGGAATCAGCCATTTTTGTGGAGGGATTTGATGGGGTGCTTGATTTCACCATTATTGCATACCCAATTAGTTGAGGCCCAGGTGTGTGTTAATAAACGTTAGCTCACTCTCTGTTAAACCAATGACCCTACCTTGACTTGATTCCAGGGATTTCGTGCATTTGATATTGTTCAATTCATTATGTGGTTGCTGTTCTAGTCTGAAAGGTCTTCAAACATCTGGAGACCTTTGTTGTTGTTGTTGTTGTTGTTAGAAAACATCCCAACGGCTCAGGGATGTAATGGGGCAGTGGGCAGCTCTGACTCTGTCCTTTTCTCTCTGGTAGACTGCTTACTTCGTTGTATGCTGACCGGCTCCCCGCAGCATAGAGACCAACTACCAGGTTGTCTTTCTTAAGGTAAGAACTTTGCTAATACAGACACCCCTGGGCTTCAGTCAGAAGCTCTTGCTTAGCCTGTTGGGCATGCTTACAAACTCCTGCATATCTTGGAGCTCAGTGTTCTCCAGTTTGCCAGTTTTCTGCCCGATCCTAACCTGCTTCTGTTTACTGTTCTGTGGTTCTGGGGCTTGGAATGCTAGTTTGGGCTTGCTATATTTTTGTTCAGAACAGGAGGAAGTCTGCAAGCCCAGGGACTGTTTGGTGGATTAAAGGCATCTCTGGTATTACAGAAGTCTCGTATTTGATTACTTAGAAGAGAACTAACATAAAGTGATCTTCGTAGATCATGGGGGTCTATGTGGGGTGAGGAATGATGCTTGAATATAGTCCTATCAAGGGAAATACATTCTGAATAAATTCAGTGTACATGAATACTAATTATCGGATGCTCAAAATCCTCAGATATTTAAATGGTAAGGCTTAGGAATGACCCAAAACAGGACCAACAAAGAATTGTTGTTCCAACGAAGAATTGATGGGCACAAGTGTGATCACATTTAAAGCTCTGCATTTATTGGAATTGTCTTTTACTCGATTTTGGTCTTCAATGTGGTGCTTACTACAGAGGCTGCCCAGATTAGCTTGCTAGCCCTGACCTCCATTTTCCCAGGTGAAGAGATCAAAGCAGAGGGCTGGTTTACCAGGTCAGGCAGCAATGCCATGCACTGTCTTTTGTGGTGATAAGGACTAACTCTGTTCTGCCTAGTCGTCCTTCCCTGGCTATTAGGAATGCCAGCCCCTAGCCCCGAGGCCTCTGACTGGCAAACAGACCTCCCACCTTGTGTTTGATGGGTGTCGAGGAGGAAGGCAAGCACCTAGAGGAAGTTGTCTGAGATCATGAGGTGATTGGGCCTGGGCCGTGTTTGCATTTCTTTTCTTGTCCAGAGAGCAGATTGAATTATTAGGAACAGTGTTTGTTAATGATAATTACACGTTTCAAGTACAAAGCAGACTCTGTAAAATGTCTGGTAGGGATGCCTTTCTCTTTGCCTTTCTGAATAAATAACATTGTGCTGCTCTAATTAGACTCAGGAAGACAAGCAAGTATCTGTGTGTTATCATCAGTTTCCCCTAGGGTAAGAGAGAGGGTGGTACGTGAACTCTTACTTCAGTTTATGAGTGTGTGTTACTAGTTGTCCTTCATAGCTGCAGATCAGAGAGTTGAAGGTCCAGCAAGGGGTTGGAAGGTTGTCTTCCAAGGCAAAGAAAATTTCTTCTAACAGTGTTAACCATAGCTCTGGGAATATCATAAACACAATGGTAAAAATAAACATAAATAAAATAAATAAATAGTTAAACATTGAACCATAAAAATAAATATTAAATGATTAAATAAAAATTAAAAATAATAAGGTGATAAATAAATCCATAACTCTGCTGTTAACCATCATCAACGTCACCACAGCTAATATTTTGTCTCTGACTTCCTTGGGTACCAGACTAAAGTTTTCTATGTACGATTCTCTTATAATCATCATGGCATTCCTGGAAGGTAGATTATATTAATATCTACATTTCATAGAGAAGAACATTGAGTTATCCAAAGTTAACCAAGCCCCAGGGTGTCGGAAGTGGAATTTAGACAGCAGAACATCCCAGGACAGGGCCAACCTAGACACTTGAGGATGGCTCACTGGATTCTACTCTTACCTCCCTGCCTGGCCATGTGTCCCTGACTGCCATCGACTGCTAATACCTTATCTCTTCTGCTCTATGACCCCCCCCCAATTTTCTTATGTATATAAGAAATTTCCAGTAATTTTGATCAGCAGAAAACAGAAGATATCTGGGACTTCTTGCTTGCTTGGTACCCTGTATCTGGAGCATAGCAGTTGCATGGTTAGTTGTGACCTGCTCCATAGAGGCTCATCTGGTGATACTCACTTTGCCTTGGTTTGCACATATACTGAACACGTCTGCCCACTTCACTAAGACCCATGGAATAAAACAACTACTATTGACCCTAGATATAGGTCTGTCTGGCCCTACATTCTGCCATGGCTTACAAGGAACAAAACCCTGTTACTCCCATGCCTTCCTTCAAAGACCTATATTGGAAAGTTTACCTCTTTTGTCCCACATCTGGTCATTAACTGGTTGTAGCTTTTCTGGAGTTGGTGAGCTGACTGCAGCGACCTCGCTGGCCTCAGACAGGTGGGATGAGAGGTTGGGAGTTCTACATGGTGATTGGTAAATGTGTTGGCAGATAGACAGGTATCCAGGTTTCATGTGTGTGAACCTGCACTAGAAATGCTACTGATGAGAAAGCCTCGTTTGTGCAGGCCTATCATCAGTTATGTGTTGCTTAATACAGCACCCTGGAGTTGCGGCTTGAAACAACAACTGTTTTATTTGCTTGTGGTTCTGTGGGTTTGCAGCCAGGGCTAGGCCCAGCTAGGTGGTCCTTCAGCTAGTATCAGGAGGGCCATCCTTACAGTCGCACTAAACTGGTACCTGCAAGATGGGATTTAGGACAGACTGTTGTAAGCATCCTCTACTCATGACTACTTTTTCCTGAGAAGTTTTTACATGACCCAATCATATAAGCAAATGAAATAGGCATACAAATCAATGTTACTAACAATAAGTTACAAAGAAATTCATCTCAAAACAATTCTTTGAAATACATATAATTTTGCCATTTATTAAAAATGAAAGCATATTTGCATTCTAGTGAGAAGGATGTTTTTATTTGTCAAGCACAATAAAATCCAAAGCCTTACTAATTTGATATTTACATGCTAAGGAATGATAGTAGGAAAATATTAAGAGTTTTTGTTTTCTGTAATTAAACTGTTGTGTTTCTTTGTTGGTTTGTTTTGAGTCAAGGTACATATCAAACTTATTCTATAGTTGAGGAGTACCTTAAACTCTCGACCTAATTCCATTTCCTAAGTGATGTGATTGCACGCATGTTCTACCATGCCTAACTTAAACCATTAATGTAAGGGTACATGGTTCACTGAAGAATGATACCCTGGATTCAGATAGTATGTAAACGCAATGAGCATTTTAGTCTGCAGGAGTCCAGTATGCTGGGGTCTCCCATTACCAACTTAGAGAGACCCCAAGGGGACTCCCATTACCAAGCTCTCAGATCCAATTTAAAGCCCATTAGGGGAGTTCTGGGGTAGGTGGGCTTTGTCTTACTCTGTCTCTCGTCCAGTGAGGTAGTGAGAAGTGGGGAAGTTTAGAACAGGAGTTCAATCTGTAACTGATCAATCAATGGAGGTAACTCACTACCTTTGGGCCAGCCTGTCCCATCCCTCTCATTATGTTCTGATCAGAGTAGAAGACTTTGTATGAACACTGTCACTCACAACATACAGTAGTCAAATCTGAGCCAGTATTCCTCAGTATTCATTGGTGGTTTGTAACATGACAACACACTCAGTGCAGAATGTACATGATGCATGTTCAGAGCCAAAGCCACCGCAATGGGATTGGAAGATTCAACCTGGGTGAGCACGGCCACCATGGCTTCACTATGTATAGCCTCACTTCTGCACCATTGGTCAGAGATTATGTGTGTAAGCCCAGATTCAAGGGAAGGGGGCTGGAAATAGGCCCTACCTCTTCTTGGTGCTAGCTACAAAGTGTTAATTGCCATTTAAAATTGCCAAGAGACTCTTAGCTTTGATTAAAAAAAAAAAGCAACTGGAAATTGGATTAAAGCATTTCTTTTTACACAATTTTTGAGTAAGGGTGAAGATGTAGAAAACAGAGGTCTATCTGTCTGTGTCTGTACCAATACCATGCAGGTTTTAGGTTTTTATCACTATTGCTCTATAAGGTCAGGGATAGTGATTCCCCCAGAAGTTCTCTTATTGTTGAGAATAGTTTTCACTATCCTGGGTTTTGAGAATTGCTCCTCCTATCTCTGTGAAGAATTAAGTTGGCATTTTGATGGGGATTGCATTGAATCTGTAGATTGCTTTTGGTAAGACAGCCATTTTTACTATGTTAATCCTGGCATCAATGGGAGGAGAGGCCCTTGGTCCTGTGAAGGCTTGATGCCCCAGTGCAGGGGCATGGTAGGGTGCTGAGGTGAGAATGGGGCTGGGTGGGTAGGTGGAGGAGCACCCTCATAGAAGCAGGGGGAATGGAGGATGGAACAGGGGGCTTGCGGAGGGGGAAACCAGGAAGGAGAATAACATTTGAAATGTAAATAAATAAAATAACCAATAAAAAATTTAAAAAGAAAACAAAGGTCTTGTGCAGACAGTAATTAAAATTCTGTTCACCACCACTAATGGTAACATTACCAGGGCACAGTCTGTTCTCCAGCTGAGCTAACAAACCAGGCTTGGCCACACTTCCTTGATAATTAAAAGAGCCAAATAAATAGTAAAAAGCAGAGAAAGGAGATTTGTTCAGTATGGTCAGATTGGCAATAGGAGCAATCCAGAGACACCTGAAATCCATCTCTCAGGTTCTTAAAATGGAGGTAAAAAGTAAATTAGAAGGATGTATGTTCCCAGAAAGATGTAGTCCTGCCCATCAGTGATCTATCATGATCTCAGCTCTAGACTTTCTTCCAAGATAGTCTAAGTCATCAGCACTATGTAAAATCCCTTTCCTGTCCCTAGGGCAGCCCCATCCCAGTTCAACCCTCCCTTTTCTCACTATTAGATTCTTAGGGGCAATTCTAGTTCACAAGGGCACCTTGTTTTACTAGTTCAACAGTCCAGATAGCCAAAGGAGAGACCCCAAGGTCTCTCTGGAATGCCCTCATTCCTTCAAGGATGACGGCCGCAATGATACTGTTCTTACTGTCTGCCACCACGATCTGAGATCTTTTGCATATCACAATTCATTTAATTATTATAAAGTATTTGGAATAGTTTTAGGCCGTATTCCCATTTTAAAGTGAGAAAAGCAAGAGAGGTTAAGTAGCCACCATTGGCCCTATAGTTCCTAAGTAGCAGAGGTTGGAGGCTTCCCAGAGGTGCCAAGCT